CCCCTGTAGTGAAAACCCCTCAAAAAAAAAAAAAAAAAAAAAAGAAATGCCATGTGCCAGAGATAATTCAGGAAACTCTCAGGAACATATTTCACATTATGACCCCAGAACAGAGAGAAACTTCACCCAACTGTCTTTATTCTTACAATGGTGTGCTTTCCTCCCTTTTCAATGAACTCATGGGCTGGCACCATGGCCTGGTGGTAAAGGCAGCCAGAACCCATGTGGCTAACTGTATGGTTCAAGTCCCAAACCTGGCAGTTTGAGAAACACGCTGGGTGCATATGCATGTGTACCCAGAGTCCCAAAAGGAGAAAGTGACAGAGAAAGGAATGTGGCGTGATCATGCCCCATGGTGGCGGTAGGGGGGTAGTGTGCATTCTCCTCTCCCTCTACTGAGCACATAGCACTCACAAAAAATAAACTTTCAGGTGGCAAATCACTGGGCTGGTTTCACCAACGGAAAAGTAACCAGTAGGCATTTAAAAATAGATGTGCTCTTCCCAGGTGGCCGCTCTTTCCGAGCACATATCTACTGCTCCATAGAGGAGCTCAAAGAGGCTCTCCATGCTACGAACACGGCTGCAATGTTACTCTCTCCTGCACATGCCTTTCCGCTGCAGCCTCATAGGTGAATGGGTCAGAGCAGCAATAGAGCTAAGCACTAGAACCGGATACACCTAAATATTTTATTTTAAAGAATTATTTATTTAATTTTATTATTATTATTTTATCTGACCAGAGAAAGAAAGAGAAATGAGGATGCAAGCTGCCAGGTCTGAGACTCGAACCATGGTCAGTCATGTGGGAGTCCAGCACCTTAACCACCAGGCCACTGGCCAGCTGCTATCTTTTCCCCGCTGGGTCTGGCACTCCAACCATACGATGGGCCACCATTTGGGATCCAGCCACCTCAGCCGCCATGCTACCAGCTGGCCTCCCCAATTATGGGGAGGGGAACCAAGCCTTAGGGACAGAACCTAGAGTAAAGGGCAGCAGGCAGAGAGGTTAGGGTCACAGACTGACAAGGTTTTGGTGGAAATACTGTGTCTACCACCCGCTTGCTACGATCTCAGCACCCTAGTGGAAGGGCCCTAGGGGCCAACTCAGGCCAGCGCAAGGTGCAGGAGGGGCTCCACACTCAGTCGTGCCAGCTGTGAACACCTGCTACTCTCATCTTGGCACATTTGTATTGTGGTTATGGTTTCAGATGAAGAAAAAAATTCAGAACATAGGATGACATTCGTAGAGATAAAAAATATGTATTTTAAGATCACACATACCCCTCTTTAAAGTCACCGAGTTAAGATCATCGATTAGAAAAGAAAAAAAAATTGATACACGGGACTCAGGAGCAGAAGTGGAGGGCGGCTGCTTCGTGCTGTCCCTACGGAGCAGGGCAGCTCGGAGGGGATGCTCATCTCACTCCCACACCTGCACTTGCAGCCAACGAGGAATCGTCGTGGGCACTGCCGCGTGGGCAGTATTGAGGCTTAGAAGTAGGTCAGCTCATCATGCTTGGTTTTGTCGGTCTGGTAGCCATGTAAGGCCACGGGCTTGTTCTCATGAGGAAGACTCTGAAAGAGTCGCACGTGTATGAACTCTTCCCCACCAACGTGAACCTGCAGAGAGAGCTGAGTGAGCGGGGCAAGTACGAGCCAACCAGGTCCCGGGCTCTGCTATGCTGTGTGAGAGAGCGGTGCACCCTGGAAACCATGTCTGGATGAGGACACCCCCACCTTTTCCACCCTGAACATCCCACATTTGCTCCATGTGAGTCCTTTCTTACCCAAAAGCCTCAGTCTCTCTCCTCTGAGAAAAGCAGTGTATACACGCATGCACATGTGCACGCACGCACACATTCATCTAAGGGAGCTATGGGCCTGCCCCGGGACCACTCAGGCCTGCACGTGCTGCCCTACAAGCAGCCCCCACTTCCCACCAGGGCGCCCACAGGCTCACACTCTACCTTGACGAAATAGTTGGTCCCTGCAACCACCTGGCTCTTGAACGACGTAGCCTTGAAAACTGGGAATTTCTTATTTTCCTTCTCCTCAAGTTCGTGCTTCACCTGAGGAAAGAGAGAGGACGGGAAGAACTCAGGGTATCCCTCCTGCGGGAGAAACTCACACCCACACTCTTACACACCCATAACCCACTCGGTCCCTATAACTGTGCGGGAAGAGTCAACTGTCAGCGTTAACAAAGTAAATATGACAATCCACTATCATCTGGCCAGTTTTTCCTTGTGCTACTTCAGCTCATCTGCCCTTTCTGTTCTAGACACGGGACGTTTTTATATTTTCATTATATTGCTACATACAAATTTATACTCGTTTTGTTTTTTTTGCTTAACATGTAGATGGTTCATTTGGAAGTCTGTATGTAATATGCATATGTGTGTGTGTGTGTGTATCAAATTACAAATATATGTGTGTGTATGTATTGTGTACCCCACTGGGTCCAGGACTCAAACCGTGGATGGCCATGTGGGAGTGCAGCATTGTAACCACGATGCCATCTGCTGGATCATGCATAATGTTAACTAATTTTTTTTATTGAATCTTTTAAGTTAAATATAATGTCGCACTGAATCTAAATGTAAAGTTTCCATTTCATAGACATGTCCTGGTTCTTGCCACTCCTTCCAGGGCAGTGGGCACTCAGGCCATTCCTGATTTCTGCTCTAACAGATAAGGCAGCAAGTGACAGGCGTGGCAGGGGACAAGCACTTTTTCTGCATTCTGAGATGCATCTTTAGGGCACAGTGCATCAAGCGGAGGGTGGTCCTGATCTTACTGCCGTACAGTGAATGTATGTTTGATTCAGTCCCTTTTATAAGGTCATGTGCTTCCCCCCGCCCCCTTAAGTTGTATTTATTTCCTCTATAAAAGAGAAACAGAAAAACGCCCTCCATAGGGTCTTCATTGGCCACCCACCCCAGCCTCAGCCAGCCAGGACACGTGTAGACACTAGCACATACCAGCTCTGTGCCAGGGTGACCAGGCTGGTCCTAGAGGGTTAGGGGTTTTAGTTCTAAAACAAAACAACACAGTGAGGGACGTGCTGGTTGGCAGTCACCCAGTATTACAGATGACCCCTGGTGCCTTCAGGGAGGGCACTGCTGGGACAGGCAGAGAGGTGAAGGCTGAAGTCTGGCAGGAAGGATGGAGAGTGTGAGGTTCGAGGTGTGCCCATGCTGTCGAACACCCTGATGGCATTTTTCTCATGGCACTGGGGCCGGGCCTGCCTGAGTCTGATTAGTCACTGGTGACATGTGGCACCCTTTTCCACACAAGGTGCTGCACCAGCCCTGTGGGGACACATGCCAGTGCATGGCCCTCACCCTCAGACTATGACAAGCTCGGGCTGGGTAAGTGACACCAACAAATTAGCCCAATCATTTCCTTGCCTGTTTCAGAAGAGGCAGGAAAGTTTGCAGAATGGTGAGAAAATCTGAATGCAGGTGGTGGGGGTGGGAATGCAGGCTGTGAGTGCCAGGCCACAGAAGCCCACAGGTTCATTAGGGTGCTGCAGGTGACCAGCCCCCTAGGGATCAGAGTGGGAAGAGGGACAGGGAAGGCACAGGGACTTGCGTGGAGGAGGGCTGACGGGTCCTAATCTTGGATCAGTCTCTGACTTTAATTCTAGTCTGCACAGTGGGAGGCGGGAACACAGCTCAGAGTGTTCCCCATGGGAGTCATAAAATGACCAGCAGTGGTGCTCGGCAAGTGTCCCTGTCCCTCTGCCTTTTCCTCTAGAGACCACCTGGCAAATGGGCGGCCTTGTGAACACCTCCTTAAACTCTCTCTCTGCAGCAGTGGCCACTGCCCACATACATGCCACCCTGAGACAGCAACTCTTTGCTCCTACTGCAGCAAAAGTTCGCTGTTTAAATGAGAAAAGTCCTAGGCCTGAACACACAGGAAACAAGTGAGGAGGAGCTAGAATTACGGGCAGATGGGGTGGCTACAGGGGAAGAGTGAAAAGCCACTTTTCCGGGCATGGTCCCACAGCAGTCTGGGCAAGGAAGTTTGGACAATTCCTCATTTTCAAAGGTCTCATGGGACTGACTCACTGCCCTTTACTGCAGTCAGATGTCCAGACCACCTGAGCAATGACACTGGGCTGACACATGCCATGGGCCTTAGCAAACAGCAGAGAAGAATAAGTCTGCTTTACTTTTCGTCTTAATCAACACGTAAGCCTAAAGAGCCTAACCGTTCCTTGTTTGTAAAGAATGACCTCTGTTAGTGACAATGCCAGCTAGAGGTCTGACACCTACAGTATAAAGGGCGTCCCACGTACCAACTCATTTCATCCTCGCCAGAACTCCCTGCACAGGTACAGCCTGGCAGGACACTCATTTTACAGACAAGAAAACCGAGGCACTCAAGGAGGTTCAGAAGCGACTCAGGGTCTCCCCCTCAGCCTGTTTGTTTCGGGCTTGCTATAGGGTGTGTGCTCTCAGCAGAGAGAGACAGAAAGGAAGAGAGACTGAGAAACCATCCCCCGGGGAAGATCCAGCTGCAGTCCCTCGCCTACACGCTCCTCTGGGATGGTGGACGCGCATACATATGACGTGTTTTCTAAGCCACAGGTTTTGGCACTCCGACTGTGCAGCAGGCCACGTGGGATCTGGCCATCCTCACCACTACATCGCCTGACTGGCCCTTCGTTGCAGTCTGAGTAAGTGCTAGGATAAGAATAGTACCAACAGAGCCAGCAGGTGGCGTAGTGGCTAAGCTGCTGGACTCCCATGGGACAGACTGCACTTTGAGTGCCAGACCAGGTGGCTTGAAACTCCTGCCAGACACCTGTGTGTGCATGCGTGCGTGCCCAAGATCCCGAGAGAGGATGGAGGAGAAGAGACTGTGGTGTGGCCACCCCCTAGGGGTGACTTATCATTTTCTGTCTTTCTCTTCTCTTCAGCAAGTGCATATGCCCCGTAACAAAAAATCTCTTAAAAAAGATTAATACCCAAAATACCTTTATGCCAAGAGTCTATCTCATGCCCTCTACCACAGCATTCTTTTCACTCTGTGTGTGTGTGATTTTTCCCCCTGAACTGTTGAAGGATACTGACAAACTTTCCTCGGCCAAACTCGGGTCAGCCTCCTGAATCTTCTAAGCCTGTCAGTTTAGCCAGAACCCCCAAACCCTGGTGCTTCCTCTTGGGGATTTTCTAGCTGCTCTGCCCACCTGCTCCGTGGTTATCAGTCCCTACCTGCCCTAGCTGGACTGGGAGTTGAGCCCCATCTCTCCCCCACCCCAGATCTTGGGAGCCCTGGTCCTAAATAAAGTCTGCCTTGCCTTGCTTAAGTTTTATTGTATGGTTTCCTAAAAGGAACACACAGGATGACCCTTCACCTCGAAATAACTGAGTGCCTGTTTCCTAAGAACCCAGGAATACCCCCTCCCCTCACCAAGGCCCAGTGACCATCAACTTCAGACTAACACCCACACAGACTGAGTGCGAAGTCCAGCGCACGCCGTCCCGAGGCAGTAGCCACCTGGTAAGGTCCCCAGCCCGGCCCCTGCGCACTCTGCAAGTCGCTGTCCTGCGTGGGGCCTGGAGCACCAAGTCCCGAGGGCTGACGGCCCCCAGAGGCCCCGCCCCAAGCGCTCGGGACCGGCAGTCGGAGCTCGTCCATTCTCAGCTGGGAGCTTTGGAGAGCCTCACCTGGTCCACCAAGTCCTGAGTCTCGGCGGTGGCCGGCTTGGTGTCAGAGGTCCCTCCACACAGCATCTTGGGGCAGCAGAGGAGGCTGTCCGGAATAAGCAGAAGAAGCGGGACGCTGGAAACCGGGACGCTAAGGAGGGGACCCGGCAGCAGCTCCTCAAATACAAGCGGCTGTCACATGACGCGCAGGCGGAACCAACGCATTGCGGATGGGGGGGGTTGGAGGGGGCGCTGCCGGGTCGTGGTCCCCTCTCCCAGGAACCCGCACAAGAGGGGCTCACGGAGGGGAACCTAGCCGCGCCCCACCCGCGCGGTGGACACCGTCTCTGGACAGAGGACCGGGCGTCCGGGAGGTAGCGTCCCCCCTCCCCGGGTTGGTGTCGTCCTCCCCCAGGCGGCGGAGTCATGAGTTCCCGAGTGGGGCGCGGCGCGGCGTAGTCAGTCCCCTGGGGCGCGGGGAGTGGGTGCACGCCCTGTCGGGGAGGAGAGCAGGTGTCTGGACGCTTTGCGGAGGTGGGGGCAGTCAGGAGTCCTGGCCCGGGTGGGGTTGGGCGCAGGGTCTGTAGAGGGTGGTGAAAGCCCTAGCCCCTCCAGGGCGTGATCACAGGCCTTGTAGGGGACATTAGTGGTCGGGGCACACGTAGGAGTGAGGAAGGATGGGAGTCTCGGCGTCGCGACGGGGTGGGTGCGGGGGTGGGCACAGGCTCTGCAGGGGATGATGGGAGGTCTGGACGCTTTCGGGGTAAGGACAGTTGGGCGTCCTGGCCCACGCAGGAAAAGGGAGTGGTGCCGCAGGCCCTGCAGATGGTAGTTGGGGGTATGGACCCCACAAGGGGCAGGATGTGGGATGAGGGCAGTCTAGCTCAGCGGTACTTGGGGCCACCCAACTATTCCCCAGACCCCGGTCCTGTGTGAGCTCTACCCCAGATAGCCTAGACCTGAGAGGCGCTAGGACCTATACGGGCTGGGGGTGGGGACGTGGGAGCTGTCCCAAGGGTGCCCTGGAGTTCAGATCATGAAGAGCCAGTCCACTGTTCTGGTCCCTCATCTGCAAGGCCAGCCCGGGGCCCATGGTCCAGGGGCCCCACATGTGCTGGCTTGTGTGTACAACAGTGGGTACCACAGGCGTGTACCCTGCCGACACTGTGAGGGGCCAAAATTGGTGGGCAGAAGGGGCCCAGTGGGAGAGGAGGTGGATTTGGGGGGTCTCTGCTGAAGCCTCAGGTGGGGGAGATTAGAACAGGACTTGGTTCTGGTGGGATTTGGGTTTAGGATTTATTAATAGGTTCAATTTAACCACCGGAAGGGAAAGTTCTTGCCTTATTTGGGGCAGGGGCGGGACGGTGCTGAAACCATCCCTTCCTAGGAATTGACTCAAGGGCTCTGGTGCCGTCCCAGCAACCACGGAGGAGTGAGTGTGTGGTGGTAGGGCCTTTCCTGTACGTCCTTGGACAGACTGGTCTTCAGAGCTCCAGGGAAGGGGCAGAAGTGTGGGGAGTCAGTTGTGGTTGGGCCTTCGCAGAGGGAGAGAGGCCCGAGAATGGATGGCAAGTGGATGCAGACAGATTTGAAACCGTAAAAATGGAAAACTCTTGGGGCCAGCAGATGGTGTGGCACTGGACTCCTGCATGGTCAAATGTGGTTCAAGTCCTAGACCTGGTGTCTTTGAAATCACACCGGGCACGTGTGTGCACACCCAACATATCAAGAGGTGAATGGAGTGGAACCAGCAGGTGGCGTGGTGGTTAAGAAGCTGGACTCTCCCACATGGCTGACCATGGTTCGAGTCCCGGACCTGGTGGCTTGCTTTCTCACTTTCCCTCTTTCTCTGTGTCTCTCTCTGGTCAAATTAAAATAAATAAATGAATAAATGAAATTAAACTAGAAAAATACAATAAAATTAAAAAAAATTTTAAGAAGAGAATAGGGACCAGCAGTTAGAGTTATGGCTATGTCACTGGACTCCCTTCCACGTAGCCGACCACGGTTCGTGTCCCAGACCTGGTGGCTTAAACTCACGCCAGGCGCGTGTGCGTACGTGCCCAAGATCCCGAGAGGAGAATGGAGGAGAAGGGATTGCGGCATGGCCATCCCCCCTGGGGGGTGATTTCTCGCTTTCTGTCTCTCTCTCTGTCTGGCGAGCGCACGCGCCCTATAGCAAAAATCTCTTAAAAAAAAAAGAATGGAGGAGAAGGGACTGTGATTTCTCACCTTCCCTCTCTCTGTCTCTGTGTGTCTCTCTGGCAAGGGCAGGAGTCCTATAGCCAAAAAATCTTTAAAAAAAAAAAAAAAGGAAAACTCTTCTCTCTGTTGGTTCTGTTTCTACTGATCTTTGAGGCTCTCCAGAGACAGAGGCTTTGGCCAACCCTCTGAGAGACTGTCTCTTCTGTCTGGATTTCAGTCTCGTGCTGCTTTCTGAAGCCAAAGCTGCTTGGTTGCAGCAGGTCTGGGTGCAGAGTCAGCCCTTTCTCATACCTGCTGTGTGGAATAGGGCTAGTTGCCGATCCTCTGTGTGCTCTGCTCTGGGGGACAATACTAATAACTAACCTTAAAAGTTTTTCTCTGTAAATAGGTATTAATTAGTACAAAACAGTATTAATAAGTACAAAAAAGTTTGAGATGGTGTCCAAGCCCTGGATGAACTATTAGTATTGTTTCTGTTACAGTCTGGTAGTGTACTAACATAAACCTTACCTATGAATTGTATTACTTTTCTGTCCAAATCCCTGGAAAATACAAATTTTGCCTCCCATTCCTGATACCAGTTTTCCATCATACTGAAGCCAGGAAGAGTGGTATCCTGTCACTCCACCTAGAGTCCTGTGGGTCTGCCACAAGGGCCTCAAACACAGCTTAAATATAAAATCCGGGGCCCAGCAGTTGGCATAGTGGTTACAGTCCTGGACTACCACGAGGCTGACTGTAGTTCGAGTCCTAGATCTGGCAGCTTGAAACTCAATGCCTGGCTCGTGTCAGTGCGTGCCTAAATCCCCAAGAGGAGAATGGAGGAGGGACTGTGGTGTGGCCATCTCCCCAAGGCAGTGATTTCTCGCTTTCTGTCACCCTGTCTCTGTCTCCAGTGAGCACATGTGCACTATAGCAAAAATCTCAAAAAAAAAAAAACAAAACTGAAGGATAGAAAAACACTTAATAGGCACAAAAATGGAAAGTTCTGTGTTGACAATGTGTGTGGTAATGTGCAGTGTATTCATGCTGGTACAATTTTGTATAATATGAAGATGTACACTGATTAAATAAAAATGAAAAAAATGAAATCCATATTCAGGAATTTTAAATTCAAGCTATTGTGAAATCTTTGATTTTCTCAGGGTAAATAGAACCCAAGCGTTACTTATTTAATTCCCTGGACAGGTCTCCCAGTCCCCTTTTCCCAGCACTCAGCAAATCAACTCAGTTTTACTGCTTGTGTTGATTATTTGAAGCAGGTGACTCACACATCAGTTCCCGGTTCTAATCTATTGCTTGTGTTTTCATCATGCACGAATTCCATCAGAATTTGTTGCTGATTAAGTTCTAGCCTGTGACAAGTCCTTGATTGAGAGAAAAAGAAAAAACCACTTAAGCATTAATCAACTTACCCACTTATCTTTGAAATGAAGGGAAATACTAGCTGAAAATCGGTAGCCCGCTGGGCAGCCTCTCCCCTGACTGCTAGCAGAGGCTCCTGGCCTGGGGATGTCCTCACAGAGTGGACATGGCTTTGTCTCTGAGCTGGATCCATCTGAGTGAACCAGCACCAGCAAAGCCTGGCCAATCTGGAACGGTCGAGGAGTTCACAAAAATAGTAAGGAGTAAGTCAAGACAGACTTTATTATTAATTTTTTTTAATTGCCTGAGAGAGAGAGACACAGAAAGCATGAAAGAAGGAGAGAGGGAGAAATCACCCCTCCCATAGGACATGTTCCTGCCACATCCTCTTGTCCATTTTTTCGTTCTGTTGGGATTTGGGGCACACACACCTGCCCAGTGTGTTTTTCAAGCCAAGGCTGAGACTTGAACCATGGTTGGCTGTGTGGGATCCAGGTCCCTTAAACTACTAGGCCATGGGACCAGCCCATGGTGCACAACTTTAAAAGGCCATTGCTGAAACAGCCTCTGTGGAGAGTCGCCCTGGTTCCCTGCTTCAGCCGTGCTTGGAGGGGACCTGGCGCTCGTCCCCCACCCCGCCTGGCCACTCAGAGTCAGCCCTCCACCACGTCCTGGCAGCGTCCTCGGGGCAGCTCCAAGGGCTCCGCCACCACTCCAGCACCACACAGCTGATGACCGCGTCACCCTCGCAGGTGCACCCAAACCACCACCAGGTCCACCCGGAGCTCCACGCCTCCTACGTACACCTGTCCGTGTTTTTCTGCTGTGATGGTGATGATGTGGGTTTGGAGAACTTAGCCAAATACTTTCTCCACCATCTCACGAGGAAAGGGAATGTGCTGAGAAGCTGATGAAGCAGCAGAATCAGCGGGACGGCCCCACCTTCCTTCAGGGTATTGAGAAACCAGAGCGCGGGGACTGGAAGAGCAGGCTGAACGCAATGGAGCGTGCGTTACACTCCGGAAAATGTGACTCAGTCACTGCTGGACTTGCACAACCTGGCCACTGACAAACGATCCCCATTTGTGTGACTTCATTGACGCTCATCACCTGAATGAGCAGGTGACGTCCATCAAGAATCGGGTGACCATGGGACTAACTTGCACAAAATGGGAGCCCCGGAGTCTGGGCACACCCTGGGAGGCAGTGGTAACGGGAGCTAAGCCTGAGGCCAACTTCCCTGCTTGCCAGGGCAGTGCGTGCATGTTGGGGTTTCTTTTACGTTTCCTGTAAGTTGTACCAAGACATCCACTTAAGTTCTTTAATTTGTGCCATGCCTTCAAATAAATAAATTTGTTCCCCCCCCCCGAAAAAAAAGGTCATTGCTATAGACTAGTAATGAGGGCCAAGACTTTTTTCTTCTATTTCTTGCCTGTTTTAATTTTGTCAGAGGGTGTGTGTGCTCACAGGGTTAGAGGGAAATGAGAAAGCACCCCCCACCCCACCATGGGGAATGGTCATGCTGCAATCCTTTCTTCCTCATCTCTCCCGTTTGGGATTTTAAGTTCGTGTGCATACCCACCAGTGTGTATCTCAAGTTGCTGGGTCTGGGG